ATATTAAAAATAATTCAATATTAACGGAGCTCTGCTGAAGAACTTTTACATTTTACATTTTATATTTTTAGTTTTTGCTATTATTTGTGTATTGACAACCATTATGCAAATAAAAACGTTAAAACATGTCTCCATAACCTATGACTTTTTCAAAAGTCAAAGCAAAAAAAAAAAATAAATAAATTATTAAAGTAAAATAAAAAAACTAAAACAAAAATATTTGCAAAAACTTAAATTAAAAAAAAATTAGAAAAATTCTTGATAATATTAATATTATTGCACATTTTTTGTTTTCTTTCTTTATTATAATATTTTTTCTTATTAGTTTGTTATATGTTACATATTTTGAATTTGGTAGAAAAAACTACGTAAGGTTTAGTGAGATCATATTGTTTTTTATCATTGAGCAAATTAGTTTTTGCTTTTTGGTGTAAACGTGAATTGCTTTGAATTAAAATATTTTCTTCACTAAGTGAAGTACTTTTGTTTCTTACTGTACTTTTTCCATATTCAACGCGTTAGTTTGTATACTATACAAATATTACACTTAATTTTTATTATTCGAAAACTTACATATTTTCTGATAGATAGGTAAAATAGATAATCCAACAGCAAAAAATGTGGTTGTTAAATTAGAACACTTTTTGGATAATGGCCAAATCCGACTAAAGCCTAGGCCTATAATTTAAATAGCCATCGAAATGCATCAATATAAGAGCTGCCTGGCTTTATAGAGTGTTTTATATAACTGACTTTTTAATAACTTTAAATTATCGTTTTTTTATTGTTTTATCTGTTTCCAATTATATTAGCAAATAAAAACATATTTTTTAAGAACCTTAATGGCTTTGCTTCCGGCATTGATCACAGTTGCTAATATAAATTTCCTTTTAATATATATTTTAAAAGATTTATTTTTCTGACCATTTTGATGGTAGTATCTTCGAAGTTGGTTAAGCTAACGATGATTTACCCAGATATTTCCCAACCTCTCAACTATCGCGGTAAAATTTACATGCTGTCAATAACTTTACAAGACAACTGAAGAGAGCGTAAAGGGCTAGGAAACAGTTGGGTTGTTCGAACTACAGCACGCATTCCAGCAATAATACTTCATAACATATAAAATAATTTATTGAAGTTTTTATACAAGTTCGGTAGATTTACCAATATTAGGTTCATCCAAGTTCTGTAGTTTATTTAAATATGTTTTCGTCTTTTTTGTTTTTAGACTGGCAGTATAGCGGTTTCTTTTATCATTTACTGTTATTTACTACATACACAAACTTTTTATTTCTACTTCGTCACTTTTCTAAAAATTCCATTAAATGTTAATGTTTGAGCATGCAAAGCGAGTTTAAGATGTTTGCGTACTAACGTATTAGTGTATAACGAAAAAATATTATATTCTAAATAATATTACAATCTTTTGAGCATTGGTTTTGCGGTTTTCACTTGCGTTTAACATTTATTGTTGTTCAAAAATTGTATTTTTCACCGCTCAACCACAAGAATATGTATCAGTAAGGCTTATGTAGAAAGTGTATGCACATGTGTAAATATTTTGGTCAATTTAATATATTTTATATACATAATATATATTGTATTATAAAGAGTAGATTATTAAAAAAAAACTTAAGAAAAATTAACTGTGATAAATTGAAAAAATATATATAAAATGAAACTTTGGCGTGGCTGAAAATAGGAAAGAAAAAATGTTTCCAATAGCAATAGTATCTCTCGCGGGCGATAGCAAAGTGGCGATTTTATTTATGCCACATAAAATCCATATGCCTTCCGGTGACGCCTTAAAATTTCAAGAACGCTCTATTTGTTGTATAACATCGTTATGAAAATACTTTATATCAAATTGTGTATGGGGAAAAGCCAGAAAATACGTCTGGAGGATGCTACAGGTTTCCATTAGCACCATCAATCATCCGCCTAGCAACACCAGAGGCGTGGCGATCGCCCAAAAAGCACTTTGCTGTTGCTAGTTCATCCTTTGGTGATCATAAGCGCCTATACAGATAATGGAAACTATTTGATTTATATAGGCGGATAGGTCCACTTTAATTGGAGAGTGGGAAATAACTCATTATGTATTATAAACGACGTACTCACACGTGTTCAAGATCTTGCCTATGTAAAGCGGTCTCTACGTCAGTATGACTTTGACCAGCATGCGCAATGCATCTAATGAATCGAAACAAACCAAATGCTTTTTAGAGTCAAAAAAACTGTTTTCATCTCTTGGATATTTATTTGAGCGAACATTTAAAAATAATAGCTCAAGACGTACTCAAATATTAGGTGAAAAATCGTTAGTACTTAACGCAAATGAATTTGAGACGAATTTTGTTTGATTTTAAGTACACTCGTGTATAACGTTCATAAAACTTTGAAAGGTACCTTCTTTTTATGTTTAGAGAAACAGATTAATGGTTGAATTTGTGTTCTTCCCATGTAGAATTAGACCTCTTCTGTAGTAGAGTTAACGAAAGCACTAATACACACTGGAACACTACTAATTCGAATAAAAATATTCAATATTGCTGAAGAAAGGCAGTCAGATAATTTTTAACTACCTCGTACCTCGTAACTGAGTGACAATGATCGCCGTCTATCTTTTTCAATAGCTATGCTTCTAGAATATTAGTCTAAGTGACAGTGAATAATCTTTCCATCCCCAGTAAAGCCAATCCATTCGAATTACTCTGAAAATCGACTAATTTGTTCTAGCTTAGCATTATAGATTCCTTAGTATTTATAGCAAACGTTTTTTAAATTCCTACCATTCAACGATCAGCCAAACTTTAAGTTAACTTTAGTATTACTCATGTCATAACTAGTACATAAGCCACTGTGCATTGCATAAATTATCAGTAAAAATTGATCTTTTGAAATATTCCAAAAAATGTGTATTTTCTTTCAATCTGCTTTTCCACAGCGCGTATCGAAGTGACTATCGGTAAAACCGCTAATGGTGTTTTCTCTTTTAGAAAAAAAAACTACTTTTCTTTGTTACAGTTTTTGAATATTCAAGACTGGTCTAATCCTTTAATTATCAGTAAAAAATAGAATTAGAAATATTCGAAAAAAAATCGTATCGTAGCCAATCTGTTTTCCACAGTGTGTTACGAAATGAGGGTCACCAAAAAATCTATCGTTAGTGGGATTTTCCTAAACCTCTTTGGATAAAAAAAACTCTACTTATTTGTAAACATATTTGAAAATCCGAGACTTGTCTAACCCCTTAATTATCAGCAAAAAATGAGCTATGAAATATTCAAGAAAATATCTACTAACGATCTAACTTTTTTATAACAAAGTAACGAGCAGCAAAACCGGTAAAACCGTTAGTGTCCTCTTCTGAAACTCTCTGTGAAAAACTATGCTCCAAAAACATTTTTATCAGGAATTTATTTACTTTTTGTCAACAAAAATCCAATTAGAGCGATATAATTCTTTTATGAAGGTTTGTCATTTTTGCCGACACATTCAAGTGATCAGAAAATGTAGTACTTAAAAATCGTCAATAATTGTGTGGCGACAAGTGTGTTTTTTTTTTACAAATTTATGAGTGCCTGCAATTGATTACATTTATCTCAACTATTATGCTAGATATTGCATGTTTCATATAACGGGTTTTCCAATAAGGATGATATCATTTCTAAGTGTCGCATCGGCCATTTTTAATATGTCATGATCTGTAATTTTTTTTCATTGTATTCAGTAATGTTTGCAATTTCAACATGGAAAGATATACGCAAGAAAATTTTTTACAAATTATTAAATTTTATTATTAAAATAATCGTTCTCCAATTGCAAATTTTCTTGCGCTTTTGCAATTTTATGCTCATTATGGTTATGGTGAGTGTTGCGACAAATAAATAAAACTGTCGATTCTGGTGTGAAAAAATTCCACAAATTATGCATGAACAACTATTACATTCACCTAAACTGACAATTTGGTGTCGTTTTTTTGTCTGGTTGAAACATCGGTCCATACTTCTTTCGAAATGAAGCTGGTGACAGCGTTACTGTCAATGGAGAGCGGTATACATAGATCGATGATAACCAACTTTTTATGGCCGCAATTAGAAGAAGTTGATCTTGACAACATCTTTTTCCAACAAGACGGGGCTTCGAGCCTACGAATTATTATTATTGCGATAAAAGTTTGGATATTCGATAATTTCAAGAAATCGTGAGATTGAATGGCCTCCAATAAGTTGTGATTTAACACTATTAGACTGCTTCTTGTGGGGTTATTTTATTTATTTATTTTTAGCAATAAACCAGACTCTTTTCAAGCTTTCGAAGTCAATATTGAACGTGCTGTTCATGACATACGACTTGATTTAGTGGAAAAAGTATTCGAAAACTGAGTTCATCGAATTCGTTCCTGCAAAAGAAGTCGAGGAGTCGTGAATGCTGTTATATTCAGAACTTAATTGTATCGTTTGTATTTCACACTAAATAAAAAACATTAGAATTTACTTAACAATTAGTGTGTTTTTTTTTATCATATCATTCTTATTGGGAAACCCTGTTGTATAGTATTTTTTTGTTAATAGTGTCGTATCCAAACGCAACCTCGCATGGCTCACAATTATGTGCAGATACGACTCTTGGCTGTTATTGTCATAACCAGTGTGAGCTGCTTACGTCGTTGGTGATTTTTATCTTGTTGCCGGTTATAGGTACTCCATATTGATTTCGTTTTCGATCCGAGCGTATCTTATCAATACCAGCGATTAGCGAAATTAATGGGTTGCGTAAAAGAAACAAAAATTTTATAATAATATACGAATATCAAAATAAATAAAACAAACAATTACCTCGACTTTTTTATGCTCACTGTTTGCTTAATTTTTTTTTTTTGTAAAATTTACAATTTATATGTGTATGTGTGTGTGCGTGTGTATGTTTGTTTAGTTAGTGTAGATAAATGTTTGTAACCTTGACGTTTTTAGTGCATGAAGGAGATACGTTTATTGTTGTTGGTCTTCAATGGTTTTATTCGTTTTCTTTACAATTTTTTATTATTATTTATAACTGTTTAACTTACAGTAGTTGCTTGTCAATGAGTTACTTCAATTATTATTATTTTACTTTTTGTTTATTTTGGATTGAACTACTTGTACATTGCTAGGTGTATGATTCTTTACCACTAAGTTATTTGTTGTTGTTCTCATTTTGTTGTTATGTATGTTGGCTTGTAGAACGAGTTGTGTGGCGGGTAATAGTTTCCTAAAGCGTTATTTATTATATTTAATTTTAAAACTAAGCAAATTAATTATTAGTTTACAATAACAAAAACATGATGCATTGACATTACCGTTGAATACATTTATTTTTACTTTCTCGCAAGTGTTTTAGTGAAAATTCTTTCGATTTTGAGTTTGAATACAACTCTTAAATTGAAAATGCATTTATGCATATAATATACATATACTGAAAAATATTTCATTTATCATAAAATTTTTTAAAATGGGCTTTGCTAAATTTTGACTGTGATTGTAAAAAATTTTCGGGATCCCGAAATTTTTCAAAACCTAATTCTTGGTTTTTTCAACATTAAAAATGTTTTATAAAGCAATTTTTAAAGTTTAAGACTTACAAATATCAGAATCCCGAAAATTATCATCAATGAATCTTAAATTTTGTCTCTTTTCATTACTGACAATGTTACTTTCCAAATGATTTTCCAAAAAATTTCCACAACCCAAATGTAGTCTTTTCTCATCATCTTGAAAATTTAAAAAAACCTATGTTTTGTCTCTTTTCCTCTCTGAATTTATTGTATATGGTTGAATAATTTTTGAATTTTTAGACGAACTCATAATGGGCTTTAGTGCAAACTAATATCGGGATCCCAAAAATTTTTAAACCCTGAATATCGTTATTTTTTATCACTGAAATTATTATATAGTACAATATTTAAGTTTCTGGGACTAACTCATATCGGTATCCCGAAATTCGAATTCAAATTTTTTTGTCAAACCTGAGTTTTTGTTTTGAATTATATAATAGCGAAAGTTCTTTAAAAATCCTGATTTAAACAATTGGCGAAATCCGCTATAACAAGCTGTCAAATGCCCCAAATATAATTTATTCGCTAAAAACATTAATTTCGAGACTCCTGTTAAAATTTTAATTTCCACCTTTAGTGGGCGACTCCTTCAAAGCTTGGGCTTGACCCTCTTTCGTTGAGCTCAAACAGTTAAAAGTATGAATAAAATTCGAAAAGTTATTTCAAATACGCTGTTGGCTATATAAGAGTTTAAAAATTGAAGATCAAACTTATTTCGAAATTCTGAAATTGAGATTTTTTGTAATTCCGAAATGAGTTTTATTTTATTACGTTTTCAAAGTAGTTTTTCGAAAAAAATATCGGTTTATTTTTATATATAACATATTTAAAAACTATGGCAAATACATGAAAATGTTGAAAAACACAAATATTTTCCAAAATTATTACTAGCAGGTCTCCCATAACAGTATAATGAAAAAGTTATCATTTTAATGCAGTTTTTTCATTTTGAAATTCTCGTTATTTTGTTATATAGGTATATACCTATTATAATATTTCTGACAAATTAAATACTTTTCTCGCATGCCATTTTCAATGTATTTAGCATACTTTTATGCGTTAAACTACAGCAAATACCATATGAATAAATAAAGATCAGCTTTATTTCGAGTTTTTAAAATACTTATTAACATTTTTTTTTATTCATGAAGTGGTTTATTTTTATGTTTTATATATGAAAACATGTCGAAAAAACCAAATATCAAAATACATAAATATTTTCGAAAACAATTATATGCAGGACTATTATAACGGTATTTTAAAAGACGTTAATTTTATTTTTTTTATTCTGAAATTCCCGTTATTTTTTCAGACATATTAAATATTTTTCTCGCATGAAATTTATTTTTGCTATAATATTCAGCATACTTTTATGCGTTATACTATAGCAACTCCTCGGTATATGAATGGCAGTTATCTTAAAATACATGATTATACACACATATGTATGTATGTATGTAAGCAACATTTATGGGTAGTTGTATTAAAATATGCTTTGTTTATGCTTTTTTATGTTTGTAGCTTCCAGTTCCATATCTATATTTTCGATTATGTACGATTTATCTAAACCAGGAAAAAGATTGTCAAATATTTGCACAGTTGTAGCATATACATACTTTGTATTCGTTTGTATATACATTTGTATAATTCTCTGCTTGGGGCTTTACTGTTGCAAAGTGTTTTAAAATACATACATTTGGTATTATTTAATGGTTATTTTTCTATAATTCGCTCACGTTTTTCTTTTTAACTTACACATAGTTATATATACATATTCATATGTATATTTATATATAATATATATATTATCTGCTTAAAAGTTAATCAAAGACATCATACAAACTAACAGAAAAGAAATGATTAAATTAAATGAAAAAAAAAAATTATCAAGAAATTTACATAACTATAGAACCCAACAATTGTCTCGTAATTCTTTATACTAAATGGTACATACATATATCTGTATACATATGATTGTGGGATTGTGTTTGTTGGTTTTTTCATTAGCGTGTAATCGTTCGACTGCATAGCTCCTTGGTATTTATAAATTTGTGTTGATTTCATTTTTTTGTTAAGATGTATGCTTGTATATATGTGTATACAATATAGCTGAAAAAATCTATGCTACTCGTTGGTGGCATTAGCGTTAGCCGACGCTCTTCAATGCTTTAAATGTTGTTGTAAATGTCGAACATTTTTCCCACACTCTGTTAATCGATCAGCAACTCGAAGTGCACGGAGCCTAGTCGTTCCTTGCGATCGTGCAAAATGTTGCGTGCCCAAGCCTTGCATTCGATATTGATGATGATGCCGCCTAGAAAATCAATAAGTGTTTAAATTCTGGTATGAAATTGGACACTTGAAAGGTCTACAATAATTTATAGTTATTAGAAAATGTTTAACAAACAGTTAGGCGTCTATAAGCAGCAGTAACGGTCGATAGTTGCGTTTTGGTCGGACTTGAAAGCCACTGGGATAGACTTGGTTTACAATTAGTTAACAAACAAGGAAGAACATGACATTCGGCCATACAGTAGCTATAATACCCTTTACAGGCGCTGAAGGAATCTCGTCAAGTAAAATAGTATTCCAAAAAAGGACTTGATTTTGGTCGTTCAGTTTCATATGTTATAGTAGTTCGTTCTGAAGCACTGCCTTGGAGAATATTCCATGCAAAATTTCATGAAGAAATCTTGTTAACTGAGAAAGTTTTCCATACAAGAACTTGATTTTGGTCGGTCAGTTTGTGTGTCATCTATATGCTATAGTTGTCCGAGCAGCTTCTTGATGAGAAAAGAACGTGTGCAAAATTCAAATCAGTTATCTGTAAAACTGAAGGGACGGACATGGCTGAATCGGCTCAGCTCGTCAAGCTGATAAATTACAGGAAAATATGTACAATATTTCTACTTTTCAGAGTATAAAAAGTGTCGAGGAACTCGCTTAGCGCTTGTTAAACTTATCGCCTGGAGTCCATCTTTTAAAAAAAAATATCACAGGCTGCAGTCCACCCAATATTCTTTTATAAACGAATTTGCAGGGACCTGATCCAATTAAATCTAACTTCAGTGGCGAATTTGAAGTCATTTTTTTGAACTGGCTCTTTAAAACCTCAAGTCCGTTGTTATATCAATGATAAATAGTTGATATATAAACTTAGGGAATTCAGTACTTGATCTTATATACGTGTAGTACCAGTAATATTATGTAAATATGGAATATGTTGTCTGGTTTCTCTTCTCATATATGCTGAAATAAATCTTATTGAAGAAACTTAGAAAGCTCAAGCTATAAGCTTCCTGTAAAGAGTCTGCACATGTTTAAGGAAATTTTTTGTTGTGGAAGTGTAAGAAAGCGCTTTCAGAAAATGTTTTTGGGATATTCGTAAAGTTTTCCAAGACTAAGAGCCAGTTTTCGAATCACTACAATCATTATACATTATAAAGCAGCTCTTAAAACATTAAATGGTCATATTTTTGAAATGTTAACTTGAACTTTATAAAAAATTTTCAATTATTGTGCCTTGAGTCATGCTGAGTCTACATATTCAAAACCTCTGAATATAGAGTAGAGCTGGGGCCAGTGTAAAATAAAATATTATGTAGTTCTCCGAATAGAGCTGCCTCACGTTTTATCTTTCGGCTTGAACATCTTTCTCACCGATGTTCGCAAGGCCTTGCCACTGATATAAACAATCAGTCTTTTGTCACTCTGTCCAGAGTCTTCAATATTTTTTTTGATATCACCTATGTCTTCACGACGTTTCCTATCAAGCTTGATTTCAATATGATTACCCAAACCAATCGTAAAAATAAGTAACTACTATTTCCCACATATCTCTTTCAACTATATTATAACAAGAACATACGCTTCGGTCGCTCGAAGTGCACAGCTACGAGTGGGCTAAGATAACCCTCTGAATTCTGATAAGGATAGAAGTAGCCGGGGAAGCCACGAATTGGCAAGTAGTTGACTGAACCGATATTCTCCTGATCAGCTGGATTCTCGCCTTCGCATGAAACCCAAATGGTGTTTAACTAAAAAAGGATACAATTATTATAGTCATTATAAATACTTCCGAAAAATATAAAAATTTAAAACCTTATGACTTTGCGATTTCTCCACTTCACCAATATAAGTTTTCAAGCTGGTTGGCATGTTATCGGGCAAATCTTTGGAGTCATTATAATACTCCGGTATCCAACCATAAATTTTATTCAATTTCAAGAAAACACATGGTGAACTCTTGTGATAACTGTAATTATTTTCCTTGGTGCAGGGATTCCATGTTTTAATGTCGACATCGCAAACTTGACCCTTTGGTGGCGGTTGATTGTAGTCACAATTGTAGATGTTCTGACCGCGACCAGGTGTTAGGCCAGGCACTTTGTAGACTGCAATTTAATAGTGTATAAATTGATTTGGTAATTATTATCGAAAAGATTTATTATTTAAAAGTGCTGCAAGTGTTTTTACGCACCTGCTAAGAACTCATCCAACGAATCCGTCCAGTGTTTGTAGTTCTCATGTTGCGTACCCTTGTACCAAATCAATGTGCTCTCGACATTGTCCGATGGTGGCAGTGGACGGAATCCAAGACCTATTAGATATGGTTTATATAGTATCATATTTGAGTTTATGTGAAAAACTTCAATTTACCTGGATTTGTGCCGATTATGGAGCTATCCAATGTCCACTTTGGTATGCGTGGATCTAGTGTTTGAAAGAATACCCACATGCAAATGGCCACTAAGGCGGCCAATACGCCATAAAACGCTGTGTAGAAGATGCCGATCTTTGCTATAGAGAAGAGAAGAAAACAAATAAATATTAGTTTCCTATTTATTTTTTATATTTCGAATATAATGAATAAAAATAAAATTCTCTAAACTCTCTGGTTTTATACTCCACAGTACTTTTGGTTCAAATTTCGCATTAAAACTGATCTTGTCGTTCATTTGAATTTTACAAGCCTTTACAAATTGCCACTATTTAATTAACAATATTGACTTTGCCCCAGCTTTGCTAGCAAACATAATTGCTTGTTTCTACAGTTCCATTTTCCGCAAAAGGCTGAGCATTAATCAATGAATTGTACGAAGTCGATAGGGTTAAATGTATGATTCATTAAAGCTGCCCAGTCTCAGCTTCTGGTCTTCTGGGTAATAATCATAATTAAATTACTCTATGACACTCTTGTGTTACAGCTGATCTACGCGATCTCTAGATGTGACTAATTAAATTAAATACTTATTGCTTGTTAAACTGAGTAGAACGAAGTGAATGTATAATGTGGAAGTAAAATGTGAGAACTATTGTGTAATTGTTGAAGAAAATATGTTGAGAGAGTAAGTTTAAGTGAGCCTTGTCTTTAAAAGTGCCGTGTAAGAAATACTAAATGAGTAATTACCAGACATACATATATACGTGAGTAGAATATATATAGATAACCTCAAAGCACAGCCATTTACTGATCGAGATCTTGGTTTTCACAAGAAAATTTTGTTCAGCGATGAAAGTCATTTTGGTTAAATGGGTGCGTTAATAAACAGAATTGTCACATTTGAAGTGATGATAATCCACAAGCCATTGTTGAGACGCCATTACATCTTCAAAAAGTTACTGTTTTGTTTGCTTTATGGGCAGCTGGAAACATTGGTTCACATTTCTTCAAAAATGAAGCCGGCCATAATGTTGCAGTCAATTGGGAATGGTATAGAACCATGATTAATCACTTTTTCGTGCCTGAATTGGCGGATGTTGATAAGGACGACCTTTGGTTCCAACAAAATGGCGCTACATGCCATACAGTTAATGAAACAATCAATTTATTGTAGGAAACGCTTTGAAAGGGAATATTCGGTGCGTTATTACTGACATACGGCCGCAATTGCTACAAAAAGTGATCGAAAATTGGGATTCTGGCATTTATTCGAGCCAATCATTTCGAAAATCCAATCAGCCCAAAATCATTTTTAAAACATAATGGCGAACCCTTATCTTTATAATAAAGCAAAATTCTTGGCCATATATTCTTGAAAACCACATGTCTAAAAAACGCACTATTACATATATATGCTGCACACATTTATGAAAATAAATTTTATATATAAAAATGAGCGACTAAAAAATCACAGTAACACATTTCCAACTGGGTCATATAATGAGTATCATCGTCAATAAATAACACAGCTATATATAGTGACTCAAACTGTTGATGCACATTCTCACTCATTTATGGTCGTTTGCAGACGCTCACTTATTTGAGATACAACGGCCATATATCACTCAAGCGAGAAAAAATTTACAGTGAAACATTACTCAAATACTAGCACTCCTGTTCTCGGCCAAATTGTAATAAACAAACTGAATCGTACACAACTTAACCTCAATGAATGTGATTCAGGCCAATAACACACAAACAACTACGCCAACGACAGTTGTCTCCGTCTAACCGGCATTGCAAGTGACGCATGCTGAAATATGACAAAAACAGAAACTGTGCTAAATTTGAAATGAAAGAGGAACACATGCAGTGTTTGGGGTGTGGAGTGTGGAGTATGCAGTGAGGAAGCGAACGTAGTAGCTTCATATGCACTGAACTCAACTTAGACGCAGCGTTTGCGCTTGGCTTATTTCTGTGCTATTGACCGAGGAAGGGAGTGGAAATGAAGAAAAAACACTCACACCGCGAAACATACCGAAATGTTAACTGAATTGGAAACCAGTGCAGACCAACCACAACGTGTACCGTTAGCAAGAAGTTATGTTTGGTGTGGAGCTATATTAATGCACACACACATTCACACTTCTTTATTTTGCTATAAACAAAAAAAAAGTTTTGTATATCGACACAGGTAAACAAATAATCAAAAGTTAGAATGAAGTAAAAGAAAATTTTTGTGGCATGAGCAAACGTGAGTAAATGCCATCAAAGCGACATTAGCGCGTAAACAAATACTTGTGATAATAAATAATTGAATGAAAGATAAACACAAAATTTACACTGACAGTTGTCCACTGTGTACTGTTTACATTGCGCGTCGTTTGACAGCTACACACACACTTGTATGGCATATGCTTGAATGTACAGAAACATACGGTACGATACCTAAGCGCCGTGCATTCGGTAGCAGGCTCACTTTTGCTGGCGTTTGAGCGCCAAAATGTGCAAGACAGTGCATATACCAACCTGATACAAAAAGCCAAGAAAAATCTCTAACACCTCTAGCAGACTCTTTCGTTGATCTCACAATATAAAATGCTCTCGCACTGCTCCCTGCTTTAGCTGGCTATTAGTGGCTATTAGCAAAGCATAGTATAGTTTCATATTGGCTTTTTCCGCTTTCTAAACACATCGATGGCAGATATTTATGGCTTTTATCGTTTGGTATTTTTAGAAGATGCCAGCAAATGCAAAATAATATCATAAGTCAGAATGCAAGATGATGTGTGAGTGCATAAAATATCAGAAATATGCGATATTTAGTGAGTAGGGAATTATAAAATTATATAATGTTCATAAAAGAAAGGTATTTTAACTGTATTTTTATATAGTCTTTAAGATAGATATCTTCTCATAGATGACAGTTTCTTGTTAATTAGAATACTATTTTGAAGCAAAATTTTAATTCAAGTTCAAATAATCAAATATGTAATGCATTCTATTACCTTCTAAGCTTTATTAAATGCCGAGAAATTGCAGATCCCTAAATTTTTAAAACCAAAACTGATCTATTAAAATTTCCATTCGAATTCGAATACTTTAATAACCGGTGATACATTTTGAAAAATTCCCTTGACCGCTTAGTCGATCTCCATGACAACCTCCTAAAAAAGATGTCTGGCGTTGGAGAAGATCTTTCTGCTTAAAATTATCTCAAACCCAAAAGCTAAGAAGATCATGTGAAAATTCAAAATCCATCGGTCCAACCGCTTTGGAGAAATTTTCATCAACTGCTCTGCAAACTGCGTTTAAAGGTCTGGGTGCCGATTACATTAAGTTAAAAAATTCTTACAAATACGCTCTCCGAAATTATTTGCCAAATTAACTTAAAATTTTCCGAGAATATGCTCAAATATGTATATTAGGGTGGGACGAAAAAAAAATTTATTTTTGCTTATCCTGAGGGTAAAATTTGTAGATTATAAAAAAATTAAATTTGTGTTCTAAAAGCTTTGGAGAGAGAGGAAAATTTTTGTGGTCATTATTGGAGTGTTAAAAAAAGTCTTAAACGACAACATGCTGTCCTTAAGTGTTAAAATAAATTTTGAGTCAAAAACCGTCAAATTCGATAATTTTGATATAAATGTGAAGAGTTTAAACCAAAAAAAATTTGAACTCGAAATTTACTTTAAAGGTGGGTAGGCCGCCTCTAGATGTTAAAATTTTTTTTCCAAAAATTTTCGTTTTTATAATCTGGAACTTATACCCTCAGGCTACGCAAAAATATATATTTTTTTCGCACCACCCTAATGTATATGTATATCCGATGTGTAAATAGGAAAGTCGGTTTTTTGAAATTTACAAGTGGATATAACACCTTAAAAAAGATATCTTCCCGAAAATATGACAATTTCAAGTCAAATACCATTTTCAAATAAATTTTCAATTCAAGTTAAAAATATTAAATATAGGATATGAATAGTAGTTTAATGAAGAACCAATCTTCCTTAAAAGATGATAATACCACCTTATTTTCTTATAAGTTTTGAAACTAAGCCTGATGAATTTTTTACTTAAATCTGAACACCGATTTCTTTATTATCAAAGCAGCTAAAAAACAAAAAAAAATACCATAGCTTCGGCTGCACCGATGTCGTAATACCCTTCAAAAATATAAAATATTCCATACAAGAACTTAATTTGGATCGGTTAATTTGTATGCCAGCAATATGCTATAGTGGTCCGATATGAACAATTTATTTGGATATTGTATCGCTACTTTGAACAATAATATATATATATAGACAGACAGAAGAGGAACTGGCGGACATAGGGACAGGGACTTGGCTAAATCTTTTTAAGTGTTACAAACATCGTGATAAACTTGATATACCCTGTTCAAGGTATAATAACTCCGATATCTTAGGAGCGATAATCATTCTAAGTTATTTTTGAAGTTTAGATTAAATGAGCTTGTTCATTGGAAAATCGAAATATTTTAAAGAATCATTCCTAAAAAAATTGACAGAGTTGGGAGACAGGCAAAAAAATGTACAGAAATAATTAGTTGACTCCCTAAAAGTATGCAGTAATATATTATTTATTATTAAACCTGAATATTTAATATCTTATATAACCTAAAATATTTAATATCTTATATAAAGTAAAATAGTGAGTATGGAAAAAAGTAAAACAATATTCAATAGAAATCGGTTGCGGTCTTTACTGCCAGCAGACAAAATATTTTAAAAATATTAAGTTTCGCCCTAGAAATATGCTACAAAAATATAAACTTCAAATAATAGTGATTTCAGGTTTCAATTGCGTCCTTTTCGAACAAAATCTCATAACTCCAAGTATTTGCTAAAACAAATGCTGCATGAAGGTTTCTAAGCTTAGTTTTCTAAATTTCATTTCTCATGATAAAAGCGACATTTGCGCCGTTTAAGTGGCCCTTATTGTGTTTTATTATACATAGTAATTCTCGGTTTGCCTTGCGAGTGCACAACAGCTATTAGAAAACATTTAGTTGAAGTTAGCTGTGAAGTATGCTCAGCTCTGTGCGTCTCTAATTGATCATTCCATTTATTTGTCATGCGGGGAATTCTCCACACGTTAATATATATGAACTGAGAAATAATTACATTTTTCAGCAGAAGTAATTAGTTTTCAACAAGTTAATGGTGAAATGCACGTGTCAGCTGTGGTTTTTTATTTCAATAGTACGACTTTTTATTAACACAATCACGATTATTCCAACTTTAATGTAAATTTTAATATTTCTATCGCCTAATTGCCAAAGCTTTTAAGCTCCAATAATTATCTTCACTTTCTTTCGTTTTTGTGCCAAGTTGTGCCAATACATATGTAATTATGAATATATACATATATGCAGTGGAAACAAATATTTTTGGCATTTTATATAGCAACTAATGATCATTTAATGTCTTGCTGTAAATACTGATTGCATCATTTCGGCAACACTATAATGAAAATGATTTTGTTCAGCTGCGAAGTTCGAGGTGAAAATTTCATGTGCTTTTGTATTTATTTTTAACCAAATATGGTTTCTTTAATAAACTGACGCAAATGTAAATTACGTAAAAGGTTTGACGAATTTGCAAATTTTCTATTTTCACTATGCTCATAGATATAGGCATACCGTGAATTCGTCCCACAGGATGAAATGGTCTAAAAGATATACTACTTGTGTGTTTTGAGATACCTACTTGAAGCAACTCTATGCGCTGTCACATTCTAGCATGATTGTGACTGAATTTTTGGTCAAACACCAAACGCAAGTCACCGTATTAACCAGATTTGGTTCCCTGCAAAAAAATACGCTTCGGAGAATGAATAACGCCTTCTCTGAGACCATATGAACGATTTTAAGTAGCATTATGAAAGCAATGGTGCTTGTCCTTACTTAGTGGGAACTTCCGACCTTTGCTGTGAGTAATTGAATCTGATAAAATCTCTTGTTTCCTTCGAACTAACTACGGAGCATATTTATTTACTTAAAATCGTTTTTCAACAAATTTTTAAGAACAAAAATCAAGTAGAACAATAAACCGAATGTTATTAAGAACGATTGTAAGAGCAAGGGTCTGTGTTCTTACTGATTGGGAACCCCAACCACACTAAATATCTTATATTTTGTTTATTTTAGTTGTTTCAAAAAATATTTTAAAGGCTTCAGTACTTATTTGACCGAAACAGCTCTTCATAGACTTCGAACCGTGGACGTTTTTTTTACTTTATATGGGGTTTTATTGAACTATCAATCAAATAGGTTCTGTGGTAAGTTTTCTATATATTAAGTACTCTAACTCTAGTTAAAAGTTTAGTTGTATTGTTTGTCAAAACTTACCCCATGAGGCGCGATCACGTCCCATTACCGTACCCTCCGCTGAATTGTAGATAAATCTACCCATTTTAAAGGGCTCCGCTTTACGCTCGTGGAAATCTATATCCATATTGGACATTTCCATAGGTTTTGACTTAGACATTTTTGAATTGTGTTTAACTTGACGCTATTAGGTATATGTTTACAAAGCACACCTGGAATAGCGAGCTTGAAGCTCGTCTTTTGTGATGTCTTAGCAATTTTTTGCGCGCACAAACACAGAAACACTTTTACGATGTAACACAATTTCGATACTTTTCAATATTGCATATATATTTATGTACGCTTTTCCTTTCAGCACAAGCGTTCGTTTTATTTATAAATCCAATGACTTATGCAAGTCTGCGTCTCCTATTTCAGTCAATGAAGCACGTAAATTAATAAGAAAAAAAAAAAAGTAATTATCACAAATATGCCATTGCATTAGTTTAAGCAACGGATTATTCCTAATATTTCCGCGATGGCAGTTGGGTCGACCGAAGGCTACACACGCCAGGAAGCTGAATAGTCAGCTAATGTTCTTTAAGAATCAGAACGCGTCGCTTTTAGCGGTTGTAAACTCTGACAACAACACAAACACACGGCAAATTATTGTAGTGACATTTATTTTTACACTTTTTTGTAATACCACACATCTACATATATATGTACATCTAAATATATATGTATATAAGCGGTGTCTACCGAACTAGTCGCTGGTCGCATTGTCGTGTGCACGCGCCGATACTACGGAACTGGCCTTCTGGCGCGTTTTGCGGAATTATTATCGGCGGTCAAGTGATGTCGGCCGCCAGTAGTGGATCTAGAAATAATCCTGTTGTAAAAATTAGTGTGACGTTCCCGTACAACTGCGTCAGCGTATGTGTCGGTGTGCTTTTGAATATTTTTGGCCGTGAATTTGTTTAACAATTGCACTTTTAAGAAAACAGCATTGAACATTTGAACGTGTGCACTTTGAAAAATGCAATGCAAGAGGAAGTGGCGAATACACGCTGCCGAAAATGCAATAAAACGAATACTGTGCGCGGTGTGTGTTGTAAATTGTTGTGAGTACGCTAAGAAAATAGTGTAGTGATATAAATATTTGGCGTTTCGAATTTGGCCGCGATATTGCGTACTCAATGAAAAATTGGAAAAGTTTGTGGGGGTTTATTTTTACAGAGAGCTTACATGTTAAGATTCATATTTATAAATATATATATATTATTTTATTATTTAGTGTGTATAGCGTCTACCAATAGGGATGATGTGATTTTGACAGCTCGCAGCCATGTTTGTTTACGTATTTGTGTCAAATTTTGTCAGTGTCAGTATGTTCAGCAAGGTTTCCCCTTGTATTACGTTTCACTTTGGTACAATTGTCTAAGCTTCTTACACAAATTCACGTTCTCAACGGACCATCTCTATTTCTCACAAGACGGTGCGCCGACTTATGTTTCACGTCTAAACATAAACACATTGTGCATGATCCAGTCAAAAGGCCACCAAGATCATGCGATTTAACGCCTCTTGATTATTTTCTCTGAGGGTATGCAAAATCAAAGGATTACGCCAAGCAACCAGCAACGCTCGAGGAGCTCGAACACTACATTCAGCGCACTATAGCCGAAATGCTGGAATAGTAATCGAAAATTGGCGTAAACGGGTGGTGATATGCAAACGGAGCCATGGTGGCCATTGGACCGACATTTTGTTCAAATCATAAATGGCATACAATTATCTGCATAAAAAAAAAAAAATAAAAACTGATACCAGTTTTTAAGTGTTTTATTTCATTTAAACATCTCATCGTTCTTGTTGGTAGACCCTTTATACCATATTCGTAAGTTATGTTATTATTCGTTTTGTTATAATTTTTTCGTTACTAAATATGATATTTTTAGTGGTGTTCATTTACGAAAAAATATTTATTTATTTATTTATTTTATTATTCTCATATTATTTTATTTATAAAAGTTTTTCTTTATTTTTATAAATTTTTTTAATGGTTCGAAATTAATTTTTTTTATAAATTTTTTTGCGACTCAATATTTTTCTATTTTTTTGTTATCTAAAGCTTATTTACTTATAAATGTATTTTATAAAAGTTTTTTATTTATGAAAAAATGGTTTAATATTTTTTTTATTTATTTTATATTTAACTTAATTAGAAATATTTTTTCTATCATGTATGTCATATATATTTTTTTTCTTTTTAACTAATTTTTTTTTCACTATTTTTAGTTTGTGATCAAACGGTTGCTAATATTATTATTTTTAATAGATTTTATATATTTTTATACAGATATTTTATATTTTGTATTTATATATATTAGATATTATTTATTTTAGCAGTTTTATGACTTCATATTTAAAATATTGTTATTTATATCTTTTTCTTAGAATTTTATTTTTTATTTTTTTTTACTTTGTTTTTATTGTTATTTAAATTTTGCTTAATTTTTTAAAAACAATAATTTTTTATATATTTTACTTTTTTTAATATGTATACGTTTTATATATATGTTTTTAATTATGTAGATATTTTTATCCAAGCATTTTTATAACTTTTTATTTACTTTTTTATAACAAATAAAGTCGTCAAATCATTTACATTTTTAAATGTCTATCACTTCGAATTTTATTTAATATTGTAAAATAATTTAATAGAAATTGAAAAATTATTTTTTTGATTGGTAACTGGAATTTGTTTACTTTTGTGATATTATTTTTAAGTTGTTATTAATGGGTTGCTTCATATCATTATTGTTTTTTGTATTTTTGTTTCAGATTTTATATGTTTTCTTTATTTTTTTTCTTTTATTTTACACATTTTTTACTTACACATTTTTGTAACATTATATTTATTTTTCCTCAACCATATTTTAATAAAAATTGCAAAAAAAAAAAATTATTATCAGAGAATTTTATTCTTTCATATATTTTCTCTACTGCTAAATAAATGGTATTTTATGGACATGTTAAATTAATTTATTTGGTTTTCGGACCTTCGATTTTTTATAGTTTAGCAAATGAATTTTTATAACCCGAACAGAGTATATTAAGTTTACCACGAAGTTTGTAACACCTCAAAAGAATCGTCGGAGACACTATGAAATACAATATATTTACTATATAAATGAAAGGCATGACGAGCTGACTTGATTTAGCCATGTCCGTCCGTCTGTACATTTACGAAACAGTCCGTCAGTTCTTGAGTTATCGATCGGAAAATTCCCAATTGACATTTTCTCTCCAAGACGCTAATTATTTTTTTTGATACCGATATCGGAGCACTATAGCATATATCGGCCATACATTCGTAATCAAGTGCTTATATGGAAAACTTTTTCATTTGACGAGATATTTTTTCGAAATTTAGCATGGATTATTATTGAAAACATTGGTGTAATCACCGAAGAAATTGTTCAGATCGAATAACTATAGCTTACAGCTGCCTTACAAGCTGAGTGATCGTTACCAAGTTCTTGTAAGCAATATTTTGTATTTGTGAAGGGTATTAAAGCTTTGGTGCAACCGAAGTCAACGATTTTTCTTGTTTCACTTTTCTAAGATTTTAATTAAACAAGTTTTTGATTTCAAAAAAATCCTCCTGAGTTAAATTTAAAAAAAAAATTTGTTGTTCTATAAAAATTTGTGATGTTAAACAAGTTGTCCCAAAGGTTGTGGTATATTTTAATGAAAAATAATTTTTTTATTTGTTATTTAAAGGAGAAACTTTGAATGCTCACTGACACCTTTTAAAACTAAGTTAAAAATCCTGCCTTCAAGGGATATGTTTTCGCTGTATATAGATTTTAACCCATTAATTTGATAGATTGGTTTTTGGCGCACGCTAATACATACATACATGTATACATATAATTAATTATTTTTGTTAGTAATAGAATAACAGAGCTTTTAACATATTTTTCTTAAAATTTTTTTTTTTATTTAAATGTAAATTTATATTGTTGGTATTATATTATTAATCATTTGTATCTACTTGTAGTTACATTTGTCAAGTTTTTTGTTATTATTTTACTGTTTTTAATTATTTTCGCGAGCTGTGTATATATATATATATGTTTTTTTTTTTGTTGTTTTTTAAATGCTCCTTTTTCTTGCTTCTCGTATTTTTTCTACATTTTGACTAACATTTTGATATTTTAAATTTTGGTTTTTTCAAATTCGCATATCTTACTGAATTTTTTTAATTTTACTAAAATTCTATTCTATCTATGCAAATTGCCAAATATTATCACGTCTAACGGGCGTTATCACAAAATGTGCACAGTCTAATCACGCTCTTTGCAGTCGCATTCAAGTCTTAAACTCTGGCTTGCGAGCAAACATACTTGTACATATACTTTTGTCTCTAGCCTATGCTAGCGAAGTTTATAAGTAAGTGGATTGAAGAACGACATGAGAGAGCGCTCGAAATGATACAACCACACCTTTTTTCTTTGAAGTTTTTAATTCACGTTCGAACGAACAAACGAGGTTTTGGGTGTGTGTAAGAGAGCTGTCACTGCTAGTTGGCTAGCATTTTTTAAGCTGAATCACAGAAACCGATGAAATATACAAATTGTTGGAACGCGTGCAAAAGGCATCAGTTTTCTTAGATTTTTAACAAATATAAATATATTGTAGCGCCAAACTTTTTACTTAAACACTTGTAATATTTGGTATATATTCCAGCATTTTTCATATATGTATATATATATATGTATATATATTTGTATATTTTTGAAATTATGAATCAACACACTACCGTTGTCGCACCAACTCAACTCACTAAGCCAACTCTCCCGTAAGGTAAAAGACACACTGAAAAACGTGTCGTCGTCTACAACTCGCTAAGGCGGCAAAGCAGTTGTACAAGCAGCTGCTCGGCGCTGTTTTTTGTTTTTGTTTGCTTGTATTTGTATTATTTAGCTATTGAATGATGACGAATGAAGAAATAAAACACGCTTAGAGTGTAGCTTGCGTGCGCGTCTCAAAACATAAACGCGCTCAACTGGACTGAAACTTGTCTATACTCTTGACTGTACGCCGACTGTGTAGCCGTGTGCCGTGATAGTGGCATGACCGAGAGTCAGACCACGTTAAAAAGCAACCAAGCAACCGGTCAACCCAGACAACAAGCCTAGCTAAGCAACCAACCAACCAGTCAACCAAGCGATCAACAAAACTCAAAACACACTCAAATGGCTTGAGCGCGCGTTTGAGAGCTCGAGTGTAAAGAATGTACGCAAAAGTAGGGGACCCACCCTGGAATGTGTGCGCTATTGGCGCTAAAAGTGCGCTCAGTGTGAGAGCGCAATTTAACATTTGTTTTGATTTGCGGCGACAATAACTTCAAATAATTTTTGTTTTTCACCCTAAGCACGGTATATTAAGTTTGACATGAAGTTGGTAACACGCTATAAAATATGTAGTATATGTATTGTATAAATTATCGGCATGATGAGCTGAATCGATTTAGCCATGAACGTCTGTTTCTCCGTACGTCTGTCTGTATATACGCGAACTAGTCCCTCGGTTTTTGAGATATCGATTTGAAATTTGGCACACGTTCTTTTCTCTTCAAGAATCTGCTCATTGGTTGGAAACGCCGATATCGGACCACTATAGCATGTAGCTGACATACAAACTGAACGATCAAGTTCAAGTCCCTGTATGGAAAACTTTTTTTATTTCAGAAGATATCTTCACGAAATGTGGCACAGTTTGTTTTCAACGCTACAATGTTTGAATAAATTCTCCAGATCCGACTACTATATAGCTATATAGTTGATATACAAATATAATTATATGGACATTTTTTTATTAGTGAAGGGTATTCCGGCTGCGGTCCAACCGAAGTTAACGGTTTACTCATTTTGTAATATAAATTTTTTTATATTTTTACTAATGTACTTTGTGGTGCCGCAAAGCTGAGCTATGTTATGCTAAATGTAAATTTGTAGTACATAAATATTTGACGGTGGTGGGAAGCAAATGAAGCATAGATATTTATGTATCTATGTGTACAAGTATTTATCCAGAAGTTGAGTTACTAAATATTTCTGTATACGTATGTATGTATGTACAGTTGTATGCGTGAAGCGCTACATCTTCATTTCGCATTCAAGTAAAAATCAGGGCAATAACAAAAAGCATAAAAATAAATATTGTACCATAACATGCAGCTACTCAAAGAAGTAGAACACTTTACACATACACACATATCACCGTATGTAAGCACATGGTCGGGTCACTTGCTTGCCTGCCTGTCTGTATGCCTATCAACCACTAACTTTTGCTGTTACTGCTGCAAACTGTTTTGTTGTTGCCTCAATTCAGCGCAACATTTTAGTGCTTGACTCCACTTGCCATCTTCGTGATTCTGCACACAGACACATACTTGCATACATATGTACATACATGCATATATATATATATATATGTATTACATACATTTAGCATGGTTTTTGTTCCAGTCAGCATCGCATTGACCCCAATATGTCGATGAACATGCCAACAAAGACTTACAGCAACGCAAACACAACCGCAGACATATATACATACATATACATATATAAATATACATATTTTGATGTATATGTATATGCATTCATTTTTGCTCGTGTGCCAAAATAACTCTACTACAACAGTAAAAAAGCAGCAAAGCAAAATAAAGTGTCATCGACAGCAACAATTGCTCTGGTGGTGTTTGTTGCATTCGCTGTGCGTTTCGTCGGCGTCCACTGCAGACGAAGAAGTTGTGATGCAGTCATTCGCACATTTACGCCACCAAATCATTTACCTATACATATATAACTGATTACTAGGGTGAGTTGCTTTGGTTTCCATAAACGGAAAAAAGTATGTTATTAGACCAGGGTAGATGATATTTGACAGCTAAAAAAAATCAAAGTAGGGCGAAACTTATTGGAAAAGATAGATAAAACAACACAAATGAAAGGAAAATAAATTATCTATTGTTTCGCGCAGAGAA